CTGAACTTCAGAAAAACCCTTACTCCATTTTCTTCTATATTAGCAATACCTATGGCTCAGACATAGTGAGTTGAAGCCACTTGGTGGCTTTCAGATACAAGCTGAGTCATCTCAGGGAGTCTGCTCACCCCAGTACTGGAAAAGAGGCAAAATACTGCCCAGAAACCTGTAAAAGCCAAGCAGCTGGCAAGATTTCTGGAAAACTAAACCAGTCTCTATGTTTTTTGGATGGTAAAGGCCTCACAGAAATCAATGGAACTCTCAATGGAGCTCAGCTTGTAGCAACACCCCCTTTTAGAACAGCCTCATCCTTTCTAAATTTGTCACTGCTCTCCTGGAGGAGTGAGACAAATGTCCTTCAAAAGCTCAGTAACTGGGGTCAACAGATCTAGGCCAACTTCACCCTAAAGCTGTTTTCAGACCCTGTGGCTCAAAAGCAGCTGGACTGTCGCTAGCAGCACTCCCTTATTAAAAACCCCAGTGCGACTATCCTAGCACATGCTAGAAAGCAGAAGGGAGACTGTTTCTGCCAGGAAATATATGCATAATGCATGTGGCGAATTTTAATACAATTATTAATTTATACAGATAAAACCCTCCTAATACAAAATTAATTTTGCCTTAAGCTTTTCTGTATTTTCTTAAAAGTATTAGCTGCATTTTTTATGAGCACCTAGCTGATGAACGTATTAATACAAGGGCAGCTCCAGTTTTGCATCAGATCTCACTGTCACTTGTCTGCAATACCTAATGCTTGTCTTTCATGTCTTACAACGAAGGGGGGGGGGGGTAATGTTGATTTGTAAAGGCCTGACTTCAGCTGAAATGCCAGGAGTTCAGCTCATCTCAGCATCAAAGCCAGAGCAGACTCAGCACAGGCTGTGTGTGGGGACATGCCCTGACCTCCCAGCGTGCCTCGTCCCCAGCCTGGTGGGTTGGAGGGTTGTTAGTTTGGGGCCATGGATAATTAATTCAGTCTCTACCTTTTTAACTAAAAAAAGCCTAAAAGTATAAAAAATAGTGCTTCTCATAATGCTGATCTTGCTGTTTCCCCACTGCAGCACATGAAGGACAGGACTCAGAGATCTGTGCATGAGATGTGTGTAGTATGCAACAGCCACGTGCTCGGGGGGGTGTGAGTGCACACTCATTCACACCTTGCTATGTACTGGCTCTACATCAGTTCCCTGTCCTTCAGAATCCAACCCTCTTTACTTTTTATAACAGAAGAGCAGACATGCAGCTCGAGCATGATGATTTAAAAAATAAAAGGAGGTTACACTTCATTAAATAGAAGGCATGTGCCTGTGTACAGCCATGTAATGAGGCAGCATGAGTTTGTCTGCCTGAGTTTCTTGTACAGCCTGGAGTTCTAAATGTAGTTTATTGAGTGGGTGTTGCAGAAAGAGCTGCTGGGTTTTGTTTTTTTTAAAAACAACGATATTCATTGGTACTATTAAAAAATTCATCTCAGCTTACCTTGTTAGATGCCTACTTAATTCATGAACTTCCATTTCAGTGCTTTTAAATTCATTAAGCTCTTTTCGAATAGCTGCCTGCAAAGGAAACATAAACTCATAAATGTATAAATGAGAGAGATCAAAATAAGTTCACTCTGTTCTCAAAACACTATATTACAAGTGAAGAAGATAACATCAGAGAAAGAAAGAAAAACATAAAAAAGACTTTTAAATGTGAAAAGGAACACAACATGTTCTAAATCACATAAACAGAAGAGATAAATGCTTTGGTGGAATGGCTCAGTTTGAAAACATATCCTAGACAACACAGATACAGAACTCAATTCTGGCTTATTATGTAAACACTTTCATGTACAAAATGCCAAGAAGCATGAGAAAAAACATGGGCACCCAAATTTCTCAAACACTGTGATCTGTTTCAGAGCTGGACTGTGAGAAAACTCTGCCTGGATCTTGCCAAACTCGTATTTGAGATGACTCCTGCCTTTATGCAGTCCTGAATTTCCTTGGATGAAGTTGCCTAAAGTGACTGAGCTTACCTGGGGGGGAAAAAGAGAGGTGGGCTCTCTGCCCTCCTCTTTGCCTCAGGCTGTGCCCCTCTGCCCTTCTCCCTTCTGACCCTGCTAAGCCATTTACTGAACCAATTCAATGCACTAATCCAGCAGAAAACTAGCCACAGGTGGCTGTGCCCAGCATCCTCAGGAGACCCAGTTACCTAAAGCATCTGCAGTTTGTCCAAGAGGGAAAAGAAAACCAAAGGGGACTGTCAGGAGAATAAATATTGAAGAATGAAGAAAAAGGAGCGACTTGGAGGGATTCAGCTTTGTGGTGGAGAGGGGGAGTCAGCAGAACTGGCACAAGTTCCAAACCCAAAGTCAAGACTTATGCAACCCTGTGATACTTGCACCTCACAAGTGGGTTTCACTGAGTGTTTGGAGAGGACATACCAGGTGGCTGCTGTGGCCAAACGCTCCCACAGGTCTAAGCAACAAATTGGAGATGTACTCCCTTCCTCATCTACCAACTGGGAGAATGTAACTAAGATCAATAAGATCTTGTCCAGTGTGGTGAGGTAAAATGGGAAAAGCTAATTTAACCCAGTATATTATGGTCTGTGGACAGGCCAGAGGAAGTATTTTTTTCAGATCAGTTAATGCTTCATTAACTTATCCAAAGCTAAACTAAAAAAGCCCTCTGTCAAAGAGAAAACTAGTGGTCACAAAACTATGCAAGTCCTTTGGTTAAATTATACAAGTAGAATGGGCTGCCCTTTCCTCTGTGAATAAAACCAAGAGCACCATAAATGAATGGCATGGCCTGGAATCCTGCTCCTGTCTCTGAACATTGGATATCATAGTCTTCATTGCAGCATGAGTCTCACAGCAAACAAAAAGCTGGGTATCTGAAAGTCTTTAAAATTCCATAGAATTACTAAAGCATGGGAGTCACTGATCAGCCTCATAGTCTTCTTTTCTTACAGTGGCCAAAAAATGCCTGTCTTCTGCCTGAGGCAGCAGTAAGACCTTCAGGATATGACTGTTAAAATTTGCCAGCAATTTAACTTCCCTGCTACCAAAGCTGCCACCAGAGACACCACTCAGTGAAGGTCCCACCAGTGCTCAGAGCACAGCACACTTGATACCCACGTAAGCAGCATTTCTTCATCTGCAGGACTCGTGTGATTTCAGTTTAGTCCTTAAAATACTCTGTGGAACAGGGCATAAATCCTGAGTAAACACCCCTGTCATAACACACTGGAGAGACGTTACCTGGCTTTGGTGGGAGATGCTTTTGCCAAATATCTGACCTGCTGCCATTTTTGCACCCGGGCCTGCTCTGTCCTGGCACAGCAATTTGGGCAAGTGCTGCTGTCACACTGCTCTGCTAGGTCTTGCAGGAGCTCTCAGTTGGCAGCATTATGTGGCAAGACTAATACCAACAAACAACAGGGTTGCCCCTGAGGCCTTTCCTCAAAGGGCCTGATCATCCTCTCCTCTCTAAGTGGTATAATGCTGCTAGGCTTGCTCCTGGCTTCCACGCATGCAGGAGCCTTCTTGCCAAAGATTTATGACTCAAACAACAAACCTTGTGAACAGGAAGAAACCACAGGTGTGCTGGGAGCGGACATCAGGGGGAGGTTTATTCCTCAAGAGCTGTGGGACCTGAGGGATGCTGTCTGCCATGACATGCTCTAGGTATTTGGATCATGGCTCTCCTGAAGCTGTTCCACTTACTTTGTCAGCAGCCGTGAGTCGTGTCCAGGGTTTGTCTGCCCTCCTGTCGTAGTCCTGTGCATCTGCCACTTCCACGTAGTCACTGAAGCGGATGAGGATCTTCCTCTCACGTAGCTCTTCTACCGTGGGCCTTTGACTCAGCTGCAGGTTTGAGGGAGGAGTGGAAGAAGATGTCACTTTTTCCCTGCAGAGTGCTGCTTGGGGATTAATTTCACCACAGCCATCGTTATGGTACGAGGAGGGTTCACACATTTCCCAGTACCATTGTTTTTATGAGCTTTTCACAGAATTGCTGCTTGGGAGGTAACCTCTTGTTATAGCAACTTGAATATCATCCCACCTTGCTGCCAGAGCAGCCCACTGTTGTTTTGGAAGCAGCTGTGACTGGAGACCCCAGTCCCTGGCTGAGGTTGATCACCCTTGCGGAAAGGAGATATAATGCAAGAAGGTCTCCTAGGGCACTGATGTCTCAGGAGGAGATGAAGACCACAACACAACTTTACATCTACCTGTTGTGTGCTCCCTAGTCTTGAGCTGCCGTGTGTGTGTCTGTGCTGCCTGGGCTCAGGAAAAAGCACTGAGTGGCTCTTGCCCTGAATTACGTGGAAAAGGTGACAAATGACTTTCCTTACCATTCTGATATTCTGCAGACTTGTCCTTACCTCCAGAAGAGGCAGACAGGATGATGACTATTGCACATGGAACTTTCCACTGTATGCTACAGATCAACTTTGTGTCTCATCAGGGTATTTGACTTTTAACAGTTTATATTGCATACTACGAGCCAAGAAAAAAAACCAGCAAGGGTGGATTGGACATGTCAAGAAAGCATCTTCATTGTTCTAAGGCATTTCTTTCAAATTCCACAGCAGAATAGGCAGCCACAGTCAAAACTCCCCTTTCAAATTAGAAACAGGAGTGTGCTGGTAGTCCATGTATTGCAGAGCCAGTTACGTGGCTTGGGACTGCAATTCCCAAGTGAATTTCAGTGATCAGTTCTTCTTAGATGCACAGCAGGCTGGTTCATGTTGAAAGCAATTACATGAGTGTTTCTGCAGAAGGTGCTACATCTGCATGTGCATCTGGCTGTATATTAGCTGCAAAAGCTTCACCATTAGAGTGAAATATTTGTAATTGTGATATGTCAGGAAAAAGAATATCCCACTAACAATTAGCTAGACAGTGTATCATGCTATTCCCACTCATTACAAATAGGAGTGTTTTGCACTTCACCCTTGTGAACAGTGAAAGGTGTAAATATTTCATGAAATGCTTGAGGCTCATTCTGCAAATGTATTTAGGCTCCTGGATCTGGACATGCAATTCCACTCTCTGCCCAAAATAAGTATCTCAGTTCCCTGTTTTTCATATTCCAAGTAGAACTGAAATTCCAAACTGCCAGGCTGTTAAGTGGAGAGTGAAAAATTTGCAAGATTACAAGAAAGAGAAGCACATGTTTGAAATCCCACCTTTCTCTATCATTTGGGTGCTGATGCAAGATACCTCTAGCAGCCCATCCTGCTTTTGGATTTAAATCCCTGTGTCCTTGTTCTTGGCATGGATGTTGCCTTTCTCTTCTCTTTCTAGAAAAGATGGTGGTGATGGGAGGTGACAGTGGGGCTGCTCTCCTTATATGGAAAGCCCTGAGCATGCACAGGTGGACTGGGTTCAAACACCTCACGTAGAGACCATCTGCAGAGCTGCACTGATCCCCCACCTGTGAGCTGCTCAGGGTCAGGAATCATGTCCTACCCCTCCCAGCTGCAGCCCAGCCATTTTGCACACACCAAAGGGACAAGGATCTTGGGAAGAAAGGGTTAACTAGGAGTTCAACTCTACACTGCCAAGTAATTCCCTTGTGCAGGACAGCTGGCATTAGTCAAGTAGCAGCTTGGCAGTTCATGTGTTGTCTCTAAAGCCATTTTAGGGTAAATTGCAACATTAGAGAAAGTTTGGTTTGAAAAAGAGCAACTGTGAAACTTCTGAATATCGCAAAGATCTTGGAACTAGACAGTTGTCTCGTGCCCACCTTCTTCTATGAGAGGCATGAAGTTTCATGGGGTGAGCTTCTCTCTCACGTTTATATGCTTCCTCTTACTTCTTCCATGACTTTTCCAAGAAAAGTCCCATTTTACATACCTACACTCAGACCAGCCATGCACAGGTCAGCCGAAGAGCGTGTATGCAGTGAGGTTAGCAAGAAGCAGACTCAGACTACAGCTTTTGGGGACCTTTCTTAAAAAAGCCAAAATGTATACAGAGTAGGCATAATTTTTTTTAATTTTCCAGACAACTGGACAAACCTGTGAGCTAGAGTGCCATGTCAGAAAAGCCAGAGGGCACAATGAAGTAGATTGAAACACATATAAATTTAAAAATGTTATTCTTCACTCTAGCAGAACAGAGTTGCCTCTCCAGCCTGCAGCCCTGATACCTATGCCAGCCAAAAACACACTGCAATTAATAGATGAGCTTTTAACAAAAGCAAGGAAACCAAACTGTTACACCATGTCTGCAGTATAATTACAGTTAAGCTATGAGTGAGGCTTCTCTCTGTCCTACAGCTCACCTTGAATGTGCTTTCAAACGGCTAGGTTTTTCTAGCAGCCCTAGTACTAGAGCTGCAGGCTGATGCATGATTACTGAGAGAGCATGGCAGGATTCTGCTTCTGGTTATTTAAAACAGAAGCCCTGACTATGGGAACAGGGAATCTTTTATGCTGAAATAATATGATGACTACAGCCCCAAATGTCAAAGGTTAGGGTGAGACTCCGTCTTTACTTGCATTAACTGCTTCTCTCCTTACAACAGCACAAATTAAAGATGAATCACCAATATTAAAGATGAATCATCAATATTATCTGCACATTTCTCAGCTTTTATCAGTTTAGGACACAGCCTAGGTGTTGTTTCAAATTAGGATGGATCTTTTAAAAAAAATACAATATCTTATCACATGGAGTATGATGACGACCAAACTACGAAATCCTGTGAATTAAACTGTGTTTCTAAATGGCTATAAGGGAAGGAGCTCCTATAAGCTTACCAAGATGGAGGACTTTCACAGCATGATGGGTTCTATTTCACAACTCTGAATATTAGTTGGCTTTTACGGAAGCACCAAGAGCCAAAGAGACAGTGGTATTTTTGCCAGCAATAGGAATTCACTGCTGATATTTACCTCAATGCTGCACTGCGTCTTGAACAGCTAATCTGGCTTCCTTGTTGTACTGGGTGGGTTCAGGTTAAAACCAAAGAAATGATGGCAAATGATGAGATGAGACAAATCTGAGGCAAGTTCTCATGTTCTCAAACGCACAACAACGAAATCAGGTGCATCACCTGCACATTTTATACCACTGAAAATTATTGCAACCCTTCGTTTAGGTATGAAGAACAATGCACTGGGTTATATGTGAAAAAAATGTCAAGGGCATGAGCACATGATGAAATGTGAGTGTTAACGTGCACTTTTCACTCTTAGATGACACCTGAATGTAAGACAGACTAAAAGCTCCTGCTTCACTTCCTCTGAAGTAACTTATTACTGTATATTATTTTTAGGTGCCCTGCCTTTGCTCCAGGAACCTACAACCAGTGCAATTTCAGGTAGTCATACTGCCCCTCAGAGTGGTGGGCAGTGTCTCCCCCCCCACAGAGTGGGGTGTCTCCACCGCACTAGGTGGAGCTACTGAAGGACAGAGACTGAGTAACCAGCTCAAGGTGACCCAGGATGCCTGGGGCAGAGCTATGAACAGAGAAAAGATGCACTGACTCTAGTGCCAGTGCTCTGGCTGTGAAAGAGAGTCCTGAAATCCACAGCCTATGCACCATAGTTCATGTATAGCCATAAATCTACATATATTTACATATATAAATACACACACTGAATATATTCAGTATATTACACCGAAGTGACAAACTGATCATACTAAATGAAAATAGAGGGAAAACCACACTGAGTAGCTTTCTAAAAGCAATTAATTAAAACATAATGGTTAGGGCACTGCCCTGCCTCTTTCTCCTGCCATTACAGACGTTTCTTCTGAGCTGCTAAGCATGAGGGTCCCTCATTATGTCTGGGCAATCCAGAGCACCCTTAACTCTTCAATAGCTTGGAAAATAGCTTTGCTAACATACTCTGAGTGGCTCCACTGCAGTTTGTCAGTTCAATGTCTGTTCACATGAAGGGCACAGCTCATCTGAGACCTCACCTTGGAATTTATTTTTATGACCTGTGAGCTCTGGTCTCTTGGGTCAAAATTGCTTAATGCTAAGCAATCCTTCCTGGGCAACACCTGAGAATGAGTTCTTCTTCTATCAGGCAGAAAGAATAAGGAACATTTGAAATGTACAGTAAAGAGACATGGTCAAGGACACGATGCAATTGCCTGCACAAGGCAATGGTGCTGCAAGCCAGAAGAAAGGGATCATACTCACTGAGCTGGATCCTTTTTCACTTAGGCCTGTTAATGTCAATGGGATGTGTAGGAGTGTGTCTGGATTTTTTTTTTTTGGGTGTGCCACCTGGGCATATGCATTTCTATTCATTTCTTTGTGAAGATTTGTGAGCTGAGGAAGCTGGATAACTTTATGGCAAGTGACCTCATTATTTGAGTGTGAACCAGGGCAAAAAACCCTTTCAAAGTAAATGGATTTGTATTAATGCAAAAAAGCAGTGTAAATGAGGACAGAACCTCCCATGTCTTGTCACGGAAGGTCAAACTTTCCTCTGTATATTCTGGATCACTGGAGATAAAATGGGCATGTTTTGAGCTTTGATACAAAGCCAATTTTCGAGGGAAGGTTTAACACAAACCTCTTTGTTCTCAGCATGGGAAATGAAGCAAACCCAAGCACTGCCACCAGGTAAAGTGGAGGGGGATGTGCTCTTGCCAGACAGGTCTTGGGATTTAGTTAAATGTGGAATGCTGAGTTTGCTCCACTTCAGTCACAATTAAGTTATTGTCACTTCATTGTTGCCTGCTGGTTAAAATATTACTGTTGTTATTTAGGGAAGAAACCAAGGTGAAAAATTACATATCCTTAACTAGCAGTGCACACAACCTCCTCTCCCCACGTTTGCTGGGAAGACACAGGAGCAGGATGTGAAGAAAATGCCCAGAGGACTTTTCCCTCTGACTATAAATGCAGTTTATCCAAATTAGCTGCTAACCTTTTTTCTTCTCTGACCTTTCCCTTCCCCGCTTCCCTGCCCCCTCCCTCTGATGAGCCCCACCACACTCAAGAGTTCATTATTTTGAACAGTCTGTGCTGATGCAAGCCAACAGAGGTCAGTGAAAGAGAAGGTTGAATAGCAAGACATTTCCAAGTGAGGCAACCAGTGAACTGAGAGTTTAAGTTGTACTAGGGCAGGTTTCGTTTTAATGGGAGCAAAGATTTCAGATTACCACATGCATTTTAAGAAACAGCTCATCATTTGGATTGTTTGATTTGTTGTTGGATTTTTTTTAGCTTTGGAGCTAGACTTCTGGGAAAAATTAGCTATCAACAGTGGGGGATAGGAAGCCGTAAACAGCTCTGGGGAGTGGGGAGCATGATGCTATTTGAGAGAAGAGAAGAATTTTATTCCTCTTTGCAAGTGATTTGTAATGTGTTCTGTTAATCCAGGCTATGACTCTCTCTCTGTAATGGAAGTCCTCAGGGGGAGTTCAGGCTTGTGTTAATTGCCTTGGTGCTTGGCCAAATTCACTGTGGTTCAGTGAGGATAAATTCTTAGTAGTAATTCCTGGGGGCCCAGAATTACCTCCCTGTGGAGGGGACCTGCCTGCAACAAATCTCCCAGAGGGTCTCTGCACATTAATATTCCTGGAACGGGCCTGTGGGCCAAGACAAGTGCTTATAGAAATTCCCTCCTAATCCACATGTCCTTCCACTCCAACAAAGCTGCTCACTGGGCCCTGAGGGGCAGGGAGAGGGAGCACAGGGTGGCTGGTTGTGCACAGGCCATCCACGGACATCTCAGGTGACATGCAAACACTCTTCACCTCTCCTTCCTCAGGCAGGAGGGAGATGAGATACAGAGAAACTGTATCAAACAGCATTTGCCTCCATTTTGTTCTTTGAATGGCAGCTATTCCCTGTCCCCAGTTAATGTGGACTTAGATGAATCTGAAAGGATGAAAAGTGCTTAAAGGGCAGCTCACTATAGGTCATCTGATTTTTTAATTTTTTTTTTTTAATTTTATATTTTTTTTTTAGAAATTGCCTGCCCAGATGATGAATTCAACTGGATATTTATTGCTGACTTTAATAAGGCACCTAGACCTAGCAAGGTAATCTTACTTATTACAGCATGTCATGTTACAACTTATCATCATAATACTGTAACAAAATGTCAGCACTGAAGGAAATTTAAGAACAGCTTTTTAATGGATGGAGTGGGTTGTTCCCTTGGAGTTGGAATGACACCACCAAAGAAACTGGAGATGGCAGGAGTTGCTGTCGTGCAAGGTCAAAAGTCCTTCCAGCAGCTTCTGCAGAACCCCTTCTCCTCTGATTACCAACTACACATGGTAACCAGGAGGCAACATGGCATACCTTCCTTATGTTGAACTTACCCTGTGGACATCTCTGTGCACTAAACCTGAGTGCAAAGACAAAGGTCTGCTGGGCAAAACAATTGCTGTGCTCAGTTAAACTGCTTGGTCTGAGGTTTAAAATCCTTGGGTAGTTAAGACTTCAGTGCAAATTGACAGAAGGAGCCTGCCACTCTGCTGTAGCCTCAACGACACTTCTGGGACACTCTCATGGAAGACAGGGCTGGGGAATAACAATGATTTTTGCAGGATTCGCTAGGTGGTTGGCATTTCTAGTCGTTCTCTTTATTAGCTTCTTTCCTCTAGTGATTTCCAAGTTTTTATGGCAGCACGTTTGGTAGGTAAGAACAAAATCAGCCATTAGAACAAAGGCCTGTGGATCTTCCATTAAATTTACACGTTACTAGAACAATTTACAACATTATAGAAAGATGATAAAAATCAAAGGGTGCTCATTCATGTTGCTACCAACCTCACAAATGTGGGAGAGAAAAGTCTTTACTAGGGAAGAAGCCAAAACGGGCTAAAAGAAATGTGATCAGAACAGAGGTACAAACGCTAAAAAGCTAACTACCAGGAGCTCAGACTGACTGCTCTCACCATTGTTCCAAATTGAAAGTGCAACCAAGACAGAGAAAGAAATCTCAGAGAAGACTGCTGAGGTTTCAGGCAGCAGACACTGTTGCCATGTTATAGCAGCCTGGGCTACATTAGCAAGTAGCTGTGGCTTCTGCCTGGAACAGACAATTCATGTGCTTTATCTTTCCTACAAAATAGTGGAGGATGGAAACCACTTGGTGATAATGCCAGTTAGGTTAGGAAGCCCCCATTTCCTAGGCAGCTGACTCGGTATAGGTAGCTTTGCTTTTTTATCTATTACAGATGTTAATCAAATGGCATCAAGCTTTGGATTGGATTCCTGTATGTGTTTATTTGTCGATGTACAGGGAAATAGAAAACCTGGCAAAACGCTGTTTCTAGCCTTTGCACAGAGCCTAAGTCCCATGGAACATCTGCAATGCAGTCAGGATCTTTTCTTTCAGGCAGTGCTATGAGGAGATGCAAAACTGTTCCTGCCATTGTTGTCAGAAATATGTTTAAAAAAATAATATTCTAGCACTCTGGGCTGCATTCTTAGTTCCTGCAGACACCAACAGTAATACCCCATTAGTGACAAAGAACACTGCTGAATCACATGAACTGAGAATAAGACATGAGATTTTAAACCATAAAATTAAACAGTCCAGCTCTCTGAATGTAACCTTTGCATGTATATTTAAAGCCCTTTTCTTGTAATTATTTATAGCATGAAAGTTAGAGCTAACTTAGGTTAAAAAGACTAACCCACCTAAAAACGTACAGGAAGGGGTCAGTGCTGCTTCATAAGCATGTGAGTTTTTTGGGGGCTTTCTCCACCTCTGGAGACAGGAAATATGTCAGTGGTGAAATAGTGTTTATCTGCAATAACAGGATGGATTGCTGGCTGTGTATATTGAGGCATCTGTAGATATTCACACCAGCTGCAAAACTGAATGTGTGTATCTGAAATGACTTCTTCAGTTCCAAGAGAAAATTGCTTTCAGATTGGAGGAAACCAAACTATGCTGTTTTGTTTGTCCTTCTCTGTGATTACAAGATTGGTTTTTGCACTGTACACTCTTTTGCAAGTGCTTGTCTCTATTTAGCTTAAATGCCTCAAGTGACAATCCTGTTTTTTACAGGAAAAGTTTATTCCCTAATGTAAGGCTTTTTAGGTAGAATCTTTAAATGCAACCATCATTGTTTTAACTTTGCTCTCTTTGTAATGGCTGCAGAAGCCATTACAATTACAAGGAGCAAGGTTAGACCAATGCTAAGCTCTGTATTCTTCACTGTTCAAAGGTCCTTCTGCTATAAAGCCTAGATCTTTTTTGCAGTTTCAAAATGTTACCAGCAATAGCCTGTAAAGTGATTCCCTTCACTCTCTGTGGACTTACACTCTATAATGTTGGTGATTTCTTTTAGATTTCTTTAAAGACTTGTTTCACACTCTGCTTTTGAAAATGATGCTGAAGAAAAGGAAAAAGGCAAACGACTGCAGTAAGGAGAAAGTTACAGTAGTGCCATAACAGGATAAAAGTTGCTTCTCACCTTACGTGTTAATCTTCTCTTTATCTCTCGTTTTTCCTCCTGCTCCTCTTGCTCATTCCGGGCTGTAAAAGATGTACCAGGATGTCAGGCTGTGGACTCATCAGGCATGCACAGTATGCAACAAAATAAGCCTCTCCATCAGCATAGTAATGTTTCAGGACCTCTCTGATGCACAGCATGTCCCTCTGGGGCTGGTGAACTTCCTCAATCTTTAGCTACTGCGCTTCCTCACACACTTCATAAAACATCTACAGCCTCCTTTCTTTTCCCGTGCTGGCACCTCTTCATGTGTGTCACTTTCTGGAAGGGCCAGGCAGCAAGCCAGCTCTTCAGAAACTGTTATCTCCCTGCCCACAGGCCTGGTGGCCTCAGGGGGTTCAGCAATGATACAGTTGGATTCTGTGAGGCTGCAAGGTTAATGGTTGGGAAAGAAACACAGGCTTTTTTTAAAATTTTCCTTCCATCTACAGAATAATTTCTTGGCAGCTGCTCCTTGGAGAGAATGGAAAAAAAATTACACTAGGGGTGCCAGGCAAAATCTGCAAGTGCCCATGAACTAAGCAGAGTTAGGAGAGAGTGTTCTCCCATCATGAGCCTTCACAGCATCACACTGCATCATCCTAGGATGATCCACTTTCAACACTAAGGCAAAAGATAACATTATAAGTGCTTACCAGGGCAAGTCTCAACCATTATGCCTCAAGAGGACAATAACATTTGAGTATATGAACTCCTAACTAACTTAGGAGCAGGCTGATGTGCATATGTTTCCCCTGAACTTGACTGAAAGTCATTAAAAGCCCAGATTTCTAGGTATTCAGCTCCTCAGGCAGTTAGGATCCCTTTCCACTGCTTCTTGATGGCTCAATTGCTCCTTCCTCCAGTCACGCTAGTGCATAACAGATGAGAGCAAACACAATCCTTCAGCTTTTCCAATGAATACCTTCTGCCCCTGGTGTGTTCTAGTCTTCATTCAGACAGGATTAGCTCAGGCTGGAAGAACTCTCTGCAGGGGAGACTATGGACCCCAAAGGCCAGTTTGGGATAGGTGGCTTGATTTAAATTATTCAACTTTGGACTGAATTAAACCCAAGAGGGAATCCTATCTTCCTCTCTGCTGCTTCATGCAGGAGAAGCAGGCACTCCTGGCAGAGTGGCAGTGACAAACTGCCAGCCATAATTTCTTCAGCCAAGCACTCCCACCAACTGAGACAAGCCAAAAATAATCTGAGGAGGTCCTAACCCAGTGGAAGTCTGTGCACAGTGGAGAAGATGCAAAGTTTCAAACCAATGTATTCAAAACTGGGGCTTTCCCCACCCAGAAGTAAGATCTAAGGTTCATATATCTCACAAATATCTGAGCAGGTAAGAAGGGCCAGGCTAGAAGTCAGCTTTCTTGCTGCTCAGGACAGCAGAGCTGACAGGTCTATCACAACTACTCACTGACTTCAGCA